TATTAAGTTAACAAATTAGATCTATTTTTTAAGTCTCAATAACATTACTCTTGTACAATAGACATCTTCATTTATTTAAATTCCAAGAATCTCGCCCATTAGGAAGAAATATCGTCACTACTACAACTTTAGAATCGATCACGTAAGTGCAGGTTGTGCAAAGTAATAAATTTTTCGGGAGTCCGAGGTCGAACCACAAGGAATTGAAAAAATAAGAGACATAAAACAAATAAAAAGTAAACTTGTAAGAACAATTTATTTAAGAGATTGTTGAATTGAGAAAATATTGATTGGAGTAATTAAAACAATATAATAAAAATACTAGAGCATCAGGTACTCCCTCTCAATTACATACAATAATGATTAAGGACTCAAAACTTAACTTGGAACAAGAATCAAATATCGGTTGATTCGAATAATAAATCAAGTAAAAAAACCAAAAGTTATAATCAAAAGATTATTTAGGAACCTGAATAATCATCCAATTATATTATTTTATGAAATAATGATAATTACCTCAAGCATGAAATAACCAGTTATTTACTCGCAGAAAAATTCAAGCAATCGATGTACATGGCACAACAACTCAAGGATTTTTACATAGCAAAAACTTTGCTATAAGATCAGAAGTTAAATTAACAAAATATCATAAATCATTAAACTCATAGAGTCAATAACATTACCGTACTTCATTGAGAGGTTCTCCCCTGACCCTCGCTTAGCCTTTTAGCCAGACATGACAAACTAAAATTAAAAAAGAAAAGATGAGAAAAGAATCATCTAAATCCTAGATGAAAACCCTTATTTATACTAAAAATAAATTGTAAGTATAAGTAGAAGATATAAAGTTGTCTTGGAAGGAATTCCTTTTCAAAAAGAAATCTTGTAAGGTTAAATTCTGTGAATAAAATCTTTGGGGCGCAGGTACAAAATCTGTCCAGATTTTGAGCTTAGATTTCGCATATTTAGAGGTTGAATCACGAAAATTTCGTGAAATACACTTTTTTAGCCCTTGAAATCTTATTTCCAGCCCCCAAAAATCAAGTAAATCGGAAATCAAAGTCAAAAGTTATAATCAAAATACTGAAGACGTGTCAAATCTTTATTCTTCTAGGATACTTTCCTAATCCAACTTTAAATGAGTTTTCTTCTATCTTGGACTCTTATAAGAATTAAATTGCTGTCATATCTTCAATTCTTCCTATTCAATCTTGACTCTTCAATCCTTATCAATTGCAATTCTTCATCTAGTGATTGATTCACTTGCATTATCCATTATTATTTTAAATCTACCAATTTACCTGTAAAATAAACCAAACAACTAGAAAAAGTATCAAACTAAAAAATCAAGAAATTCAACACATTTAATCACAAATAATATGTAATTAACCAATCATTAAATATAATAAAATAACAATTTTAATGATTAATCAGTCACTTGTTAATGCAGCTGGATGTGGAGAGTCAAGAAAATGCATATATGCCAGTAAACTTTACAATCCGATGCCAAATTACTCTTTCCAAAATTTCACCACTACAATCGTTATAGACATCGTGTCTAAAACAGATACAAAACGTCTTCCAGACCAAGATCCTCTATTAACTCCCCAAAATTCGAGATTGTCCATGCATAATCCAATCAAACTCTTGCACTCCACCAAATCTGTAGTCATAGCTAGCTGACAGAAGTCCTTCCAAAGGACTATTATTTTGTTGCTTCCATAATTCATAATAAAATTTGGATCTAGACGTAAAACTACACATTTATTTGTAATGATATGCACTTATAACTTAATTGGCATCAAACAACACATTTATTTATTTATTTTTAAGTAAAACCCATGTAGGGTAAACTTTATTAATGACAAAATTATAAAGAAAATAGGGGAGGACATAAACCTTGCCCTTTACATAAAAAAGAAATTTAAGAGTTTACTTTAAGTGCAATTACATGTATTATCATATTCTTGATGCCCAAATCTTCTTTAGAAGCCCCATGGCATTTCTTTTCAAATGCTTGAAATCCATTCACCCAAAAAGTCCATTTGCTTTCAACGAAAATTTCCTTCACATGGTAGGTCCCATGGCAAAGATCATATTTCATGTAATTCCTTGTACCTTCCCTAACTTTTAGTATGACTCAAGCTGCCTCCACTTGATAATTAAGGCAAGATTTGGTGGGCAGCAGATCTCCCATTCTGCTGAGCAATCCAATATTCCTTGCAATATTGATGAAGAGTCAGTTGAGCAGTCCAATATCAATGAAGAGTCCAGTTGCAGCAGTTAGAGGCTTCCTGCTTAAAAATGTAAACCTTAAGGTACTGGACAGATTTAAGGAGCATGCTACTTTGTAATCCACGAAGAAAAACCAATTGCAAGAAATAATGAAGGCTGCATTAATGTAGCAGCTTAGAACAGTGAGCATTCCAGCTGCAGCATAAAATCTAGTTCAGCTGCAGCAGCCAAAAAAATTCCAGCTTGCACAGTAATGTGAACAGTGGCATCTAGGCAGCAGCAGTAGATGCTCAATGAAAAGGTCCAGCTAGGCAATTAACTGCATCTGAATTATAGTAACATGAATTCCAACTACAGCAAGGAGTCCAACTGAAAGACCCAAGAGGAGTCTACTTCGTTAAGACTTTCTTTGAACCATGATATAGACTTACAGAAAACCTCCATGAAACCCTCGAATCAACTCCATCAATGTCTGAAACCACTAAAAACTAAATTGCAGCCAAATCAAGACCAACAAAAAAAGACACTAAAAAACCAACAAATGAGCTTTAGATAAGGGAAGCCAAATCCTTTCTTACAATTAGCTCTACAACAAAATGAATGGTTTTGTTATTTTGAAATTCTCTACCACTGAAATTTTCTCAGGCACAATACTTCTTATATAAAAAAAAAAGATAGATAGGCATTTTTATAAACAAATCAAAACAGTAATAAAGGTTTTTCTTTAATTGAAGTGAAATAACTAACACTTTGCATACAACCATTGAAGTTGAGCTCATCGAACCATTGGGCTTCAATGGAAACTTCCATAGGTTTATAGAGAATGAGTGCAATTAACGAATTATCAAATTCAATAACCCAAGAAAGTTCCAAACGACAAAGTTCAATGAACTAAGGGTCAAAGAATTCAAACCTTGGGTGCGTCGAAACCGCAACACCCTCAAACCACATGTGACATCATTCACCAATAGACCCAAGAAGAGTGTGTTGGAAATCGGTCCGCCTAATCAATTGCAAAGTCTAACCATGACTTGACAGAATCAAGTGCATAGTTTAAGTGAGGAACAACATACTTCAAATAGCATGGACAAATACAACTTGAAGGAACAAAGAAAATACTCTTGTAGAATTTTGTATATTTGATTTGTTATTGATATAAACATGAATAGAAAATTTCTCCAGTAAAATAAATCTAAGAATGTCAAGTTAATCAATATTAGACAACATTACAATTAAAGAGTATGCTACAAATTTAAATAAGCAGGAATACAAAATCTACACAATAAAATTAATCTAAAAATATCAAGTGAATCAAAATTAGAAATACCCATTGACGATGATAGCCTTGTGGTCGTTTGACACAATGAAATCAATAACCACACCAGTACACCACCAACACTACATTCAGCAATACCAACTTCAAACTCATGGTGAAGCTTGTGTTTTCCTTCACAAAGCAAACATTCCCCACACAAACATACACCTATTTATTATTGTGAGAATTTACATCGAATAGTTGGGTGCCACTATATTTTCCCAAGTGGTAAAAATGGATTCAAAATAGTGTTTCTTGCTAATAAAACATAGACACAAATGGGCACTTGAATGAATTGAGGGCAGCAGCTGAACAGTCACGTGAACAGTGATTGTTCCAGCTGCTGCATACAGCTGAGGGATACAATATCTGCTGCCAATACCACAAACATTTGGGGTTCAGAGAGATGGGTTAGAGTGTGTCGTCGGAGTTGGTGGTGGCAGTGATGGTTTGATATACTTCAAGAGTTTCAATAAGTAACAAAACTTAAAGAACCCACTTCAAATTTCTGGCAAAAACTCAAATCCTTGTGCCAAACACACTCCTTTGATCTAAACCCAGAATTTTCCCTCCAATGAAACGTCAAATCATCGAATGCAATTGAAACAAAACCACCCCTAAATCAAGCAATTTCAGCTTCAATGAACTGAATCATTCAAATAAAATACCTAACACTCTAAAAAAAACAATTCTCATATACATACGGATATATGAAAATCACAAACTAAAGGGAGATAGAAATAGAGAAACGAACTCACATGCTCTCAGGAACAAAGAATGGTTGGATGTCTGTCTTTGGCAATTGGTGTGGATGAACTGCCTCTCCTATTCACCATAGTCTACACTCTATAGTAGAAGCCCTCTGCCCAGGGAATGAAGCCTTGATATGGATTCTATGTTATAGAGGCGTGATATATTCGGAGAGAGAGGCAGAGGCAGAAGAAAGAGAGAGGCGTACATTACAGAGGCAGAAGTGAGAGGGAGAGGCGTGAAACAGACGCTTGTGTTGGTCTAACTCTTAACATATATAAGAATACAGATAGATATGAGAGAGAAAAAATTTTAATGTTAGTAAAATTCTTAAAATTTAAGAGTTTTTAACTTTTAACTTTATTTCACTTTTACAGGAAATGGATAATATAGTAAAATTGATAAAAAATAGACTTTATAACAAATAAGTTTATTTGACAGATTTAAGTCCAAACAAGTCCATATAGAAGGACTGAACTCAAAATTTTTCAAAAAAAAACACAAGGACTAAACCTCTCAAGAGAGAGAGAGAGAGAGAGAAGGGCCAAGCCAGAACCCACAGGCCACCAGAGGACCAAATATTCGAGTTTGGACTCGCACATCAATCTGGACCAACAAAAAATCATCATGGATTAACTATCAATCCATGGGTGGTCTGCAATATAATTCACGTAACCTACAACATCTGAGACGACCTCGGTCTTCTTATTCGTCTTCTAATCCCTTCGGAATCTTCCAAACAGTAACCCTTGTTTCTCCACGTCTAAAGAGGTTAGGGAAACCAATAATGTACCACCACGTGGAAACGATCGGCCACGCTGGCCATACCGGACCAATCATAAAGTCCTAACTCGTGGCAGTGCAGGACACGTGAGATCGCAGGTCTCTCCTTCTTGCTCTTTAACTTCACTATTATAAAATCGGTCACGCGACGAAGGGAGGTTGAGATTTATGCATTAGGCGACTCGCAGAGTAGAAGCTACAAAAGAAATTGTAAAGAACGATGAGGAAGTGGACGGTACCTTCCGTTCTGTTTCTGCTATGCCTTCTCTTTCTCCTTCCAGATCAAGGTACGTTGGAGTTTAATGTCCGCCATTATTACATCTTCGAATTTTCATACAAACAAATAGTAGCTTGAAAAGGAGAAATTTTGAGGTTTTTTTTCTGTACAATTACAAATTCTAGATCTTGAATTCCTACTTTAGTGGATCTAGCATTGCGCGAAGATAATTTCTTCATTATTTCGGTGTCAATGATTCTTGCGTTTGATTTAGTTGGGTTTTAGGCCTAGATTTGCTCTTCAATGTGGATTTGTCTGTTTGCTAATAGCGAATGGATTCGTTTTTATGTAGTCATTGAATTTGCGTTGCTGTGATCTTCTGTTCTTTAGGTCGGAAGTTGCATGCAAATGCAGAGGGTGATTCTGACGCTCCAGTAGATCCACCAAAGGTTGAAGAAAAGATCGGCGCTGTTCCAAATGGTTTATCCACCGATTCTGATGTTGCTAAAAGGTACGCCAACTGCGTATTGTTTGATTCGTTCATTCTCATCCTTTTCCTTGAGTGGTAGGGTATTCTGAAGAGTGTCTTATTTTTTTATTCAGAGAAGCTGAGTCGATGTCCAAGAAAAATCTCCGCGCAAATGCGGAGAAGTTCGAGTTTCAGGCTGAGGTGTCTCGGCTTATGGACATCCTTATCAACTCTCTTTACAGCAACAAGGATATTTTCTTGAGGGAGCTGATCTCCAATGCTTCTGACGTAAGCACATCTCTGTCTTTAGGAAAATTTGGGATGTCATTTATAAAAGATTTGTTCTAATGATACAATTGATTTAATTTCAGGCACTGGACAAGATTAGGTTCCTCTCACTCACGGACAAGGAGGTGTTGGGTGAAGGTGATAACACCAACCTTGAGATCCAGGTTAGAAATTGTAGACTTTGATTGATGTTTGTAGTCTCGAGCAATTCTGAAATTTGGAACTTTCTAAATTATATATCTTACACAATGCAGATTAAATTAGACAAAGAAAAGAAAATTCTGTCAATCCGTGATAGAGGTATTGGTATGACAAAGGAAGATTTGATAAAGAACTTGGGGACCATAGCTAAGTCGGGAACTTCAGGTATCTTTCTTTTATGACAGTGGAAATTATTTCAGTTACAAACATGACTTGAGTTTTTGCTGTAATTGAAAGCAATGAATGATTGTCATTAGTTGAACGTAATCTTCTATACAGCTTTTGTGGAGAAAATACAGACAAGTGGAGACCTCAATCTCATTGGGCAATTCGGTGTCGGGTTCTACTCAGTCTATCTTGCTGCCGATTATGTAGAAGTCATTAGCAAACATAATGATGACAAACAGTATGACGTCTGGAGCCTTGTGTTTCAATGAATTTTGCCCCCTATTTTTGTCATTTGTGATGGAAAGTTTATTCTCCGACACCTGTTCTTTTTCGTTGGCTTTCAGGTATGTGTGGGAGTCAAAGGCTGATGGAGCATTTGCAGTTTCTGAGGATGTGTGGAATGAGCCACTTGGTCGTGGAACGGAAATCAGATTGCACCTTAGGGATGAAGCCGGCGAATACTTGGAAGAAAACAAATTAAAGGTGGGTAAGCTAGACACATTTGCAATTTGCAATTTACTTTTTCTATTTGATTAATTTATTGCTGTATTGCTTCTTTATCTTGCCTATGTATGAAAGTTATGAATATTGATTAGAATAGCCTTTCTCATAGCTGCTTTTGGTGGCCAGTGAAGGAACCTTAATTTCATGTCATGGTTATGTCCCCATATTTTTCTGTTTGTGTATTCAAGTTCTGCATTTATATATAGCTGAGAAGGGATTAAAATATGCTAGAACCAATTTCCTCCCAGGAATGCCCTTATTGGAAGGCGAGCCGTTATTACACAAGTCATGTTATTCAATGTAGTTCTTATTATTATACGCCTTGCCATGGCCAGCATCTACACCATCACAATTATCCATAGCCACAATTCCAACACCCTCATACCAGTAGAAAAAGTAGTTTGTTGCCACCCTACCAATCCACATTGCATTACCTTGCCATCACTCATTGTTTACATGTCACCTGCCAAGGATTAGTTATATGCATGACCCAGTAGTCTGTTTATTTTCCTTTTTGTGAGCATAACCCAAATTCAGCTGGCACAGATATGACTTTGCCTTCTCTTATCAACCACCCATTGGTTGATTTATTTTGTCAATAATAGCTGGTGGTGCTTGTTTTGTGTCATATGTGAATGATCCCAATTTCTTGCTTTTCCTTGGCATTTACTGGATTCCTTGGGATGGCTCTTGCCAGAGGAGGCAAGGGAAAGGGACATTCCGTTGCCTGGCTCTCCCCTCTCAGTCACAGAGGAACCTGGTCCCACTGGCGCATTAGGTGGGTCCCACTACGACTATGAGAGGGGCCATTGCTCTGAATGTTCCACTGTCCTGCTGTCTCTTGGAGTATACATTTGGTAGTTTTCTGCCAAAAAAATTGTTATTGCATAGTAGCAAGGCCTGAAGAATGTCTATAAAGGCAGTTAACTTGGCATTCTAGATTTTGCCACCGTGTCTCCTCAACATCATGTTATGACTCTCAAATTTCTCAAGGGCGTGACAACCCACATCTCTGTTCAATGATGATAAACTAACGGTGTGGTAGTTCTGTGGATGATCTTGTTTTTGAGTTATTATGATTTTTTTTTTGGTCATGGCAGGCCTCTGCTGACCTGGATTTAGTGTTTTTATATGAGTCATTAACTAGAGTTCATATTGGTTCAATTCCCAGAATATGAAAAAAAACATGGAGTGTATGTTAATTAACAGCTTGCAGGAGTACTAGTGGCCTTATAACTACCTACTGTGAAAGTTTGTGTTTCTTCCACAAGCAGTTCTTTTTGAAATCCATCGAATTAATACAATTGATATACATAATTTTAGGAACTGGTGAAGAAATATTCGGAATTCATCAACTTCCCCATATATCTCTGGGCCAGCAAAGAGGTGGATGTGGAGGTTCCTGCTGATGAAGATGAGTCAAGTGATGAAGATGAAACATGTATGCACAATCCATATGCTTTAACTCTCTAAAAGCATTTTGTAAAGCACCAATGCTCACATGACATGCTGTTAAGGTTTCAAGTTTTGTGCTCCATATTTCTTATCATCTTGTTGTTTTCCTCTGTTCATCTCTGATGTTGCAAACAGCTGAAAGCAGCTCCTCTGAGGAAGAGGGGGAAGATGAAGATGCTGAGAAAGGAGATCAGAAAAAACCCAAGACCAAGAAAGTGAAGGAAACAACTTATGAGTGGGAGCTTTTGAATGATGTGAAAGCTATATGGTTGCGGAATCCAAAGGAAGTGACTGACGACGAGTACACCAAATTCTATCAGTCACTATCCAAGGTATGCCAGATCTTGTGCCTGAAGAACATGTCCAAATGCTCTGGAGAATGTTCTCTTCATCGTTTGCATTTTCTCCTTTCATTCAACAGGACTTCGGTGATGAGAAGCCTCTATCATGGAGTCACTTTAGTGCAGAAGGTGACGTGGAGTTTAAGGCTGTACTGTTTGTGCCTCCTAAGGCTCCTCAGGATTTGTATGAGAGCTACTATAACAACAACAAATCCAACTTGAAGTTGTATGTCAGACGAGTGTTCATTTCGGATGAATTTGATGAGCTTTTGCCAAAGTATCTCAACTTCTTGAAGGTAACTATTTTTGTAAAATTCACTGTTGCATTCCCTTTATTTAGTGTTATACAGATTAGCTTTGGGCTTGGTTTCTAATTCTCAATTTTTGTTTATCAGGGTCTTGTCGATTCCGACACCTTACCTCTAAATGTATCACGAGAAATGCTTCAGCAGCACAGCAGCTTGAAAACGATAAAGAAGAAAATCATCAGGAAGGCCCTTGATATGATCCGCAAGATTGCTGATGAGGATCCTGATGAATCTTATGACAAAGAGAAGAAAGGTATTGCATCATTAATATCAGATGCTTGTTTTAGAATTAGAATTAGTAAATTCTTCGTTAGTCGCTTGCAACTTATCCAATTGAAAAGGTGTTAATTGACACTCCTTTGTCTTTACTCCCTGATCCTTCCTGTTACTCTGCTATCATGAGGGCAACTGCATAATGATAGATTACAATGTTGTCTTCTAATGTTACTTACTGCTTTTTGTCTCCTAGTATTAATTTATTCTCCAACTCAACAAACCATGTCTGATTTTGTGTTTCCACCATGTTCAGATGTTGATGAATCTGTTGACAATAATGAGAAGAAAGGCCAATACACAAAGTTCTGGAACGAATTTGGCAAATCTGTAAAACTTGGTATTATAGAGGATGCAACTAACAGAAACCGCTTGGCGAAACTTCTCAGATTTGAGAGGTATTCGACTTGTTCCGCATAGGCTTAAGTTTTTCCATACTTGCCTGCCCATATGTCAACCTCCTTCATGTGTGATTTAGCTGTATGTGTTCCTCTTAACAGCACAAAATCAGAGGGGAAATTAACCTCACTAGATCAGTACATCTCACGAATGAAACCAGGTCAGAAGGATATTTTCTATATAACAGGAACCAGCAAGGAACAGTTGGAGAAATCTCCATTCCTCGAGAGGCTTACAAAGAAAAATTATGAGGTGTGTTGGCCTTGGGAGTTACTGTGCTTGGCAGCTTTTGTTTTGGTGTCTTGTCTTCCAAGTCTGTCCCATATTTTGGTTTCTTTTCTTGATGAGAATTGTTTTCATATCTTTCTAATTGTCATAAAATTACAATTGTTGAATCAACTGTTGCAGGTTATATTCTTCGCTGATCCTGTGGATGAATACCTGATGCAGTACCTGATGGATTATGAAGATAAGAAGTTCCAAAATGTCTCCAAGGAGGGCTTGAAACTTGGAAAGGATTCTAAAGACAAAGAACTGAAGGAATCATTTAAGGAGTTGACCAAATGGTGGAAAGGTGCACTTGCCAGTGAGAATGTAGATGATGTGAAGATAAGCAACCGTCTGGCTGACACTCCTTGTGTAGTTGTGACATCTAAGTTCGGCTGGAGCGCAAATATGGAGAGAATCATGCAGTCGCAGACACTATCAGATGCTAGCAAGCAGGCATACATGCGTGGCAAGAGGGTGCTTGAGATCAACCCAAGGCATCCAATTATCAAGGAGCTGCAGGAGAGAGTAGTAAAGGACCCTGAGGTATATTTTTAAAATCGATTTGACATGCAGTGAACTAGTCATTCATGCTTTACTTGGAATTAGATGCATACCATCAAATTGCTGTTAGGTTGATACCCTATTGCAGTATTTTGGTGGTCAGAAATTGGTTTTGGTAAACTTACCTCGCATTGCTATTTCTGACTTCCATTCTCTGTGCAGTTTCCCTGTGCTTGATTGATATGTGGTTTGCTTCCTTTTCAGGATGAGGGTGTAAAGCAAACGGCACAACTCATGTACCAAACAGCATTGATGGAGAGTGGCTTCATGCTCCCTGACCCCAAGGATTTTGCTTCCCGGATATACAGCTCGGTGAAGACGAGTCTAAGCATCAGTCCCGATGCTGCAGTTGAAGAGGAAGATGATGCTGAAGAAATTGAGACTGAATCCAGCACGAAAGAAGCAGAATCTATTCCTGAGGCAGAGGCTTATACTGGTCAAGATGATTCAGACACAGAGCCTTCCGCTGTCAAGGATGAGTTGTAGGTTGCCTGAGCATGGATGGCCTGCAATTGGAGGGGATGATTTTCCTGTGGTGTCTGTCCCAAGCAAACCTCATAGACACTGATAAAAATTAAAAAAAAAACCTCGCAGATGTTGCATAATGCATTAGGCCTTCCTTGTGACAATTTAGGAAAGGGAGAGTTTTAATTTATAGATTACAGTAAACATAACTACCAGGAATTTTGTTTCTTTCGTTTTATATGGTAGAAGTTGTATGGACATGCTTCGTGTGTTTTTAAAGCAAAGCACTGTACTGCAATTTTTCTTTCTCGAATATTATTGGGAGGCACGGCTTGGCTGTTTTTCTGGCTTATGTGTTGGATACTTGGAATATTCTGCTCTCCAGGAATCCCTGTTCTGATTCGAAACCCATCTGCCTGCTGGTGAAAACTGAGGTATAGGCTTGGGAAATCTTATGCAGTATAATGAAAGGGCTTAATCCAGGAATTTACAAAATTAAAGTAGGTCTGTCCACAATTCCGTAACTCCTTTAGAGGTCGAGACGGTTTCATGATATCCAATGGCAAGTGAAAGTGGAGCTGAAAGATGTACTTCTACTTAGAACAACAAAGGTACTTGCACAATCAAAGGTGAAGATTTAGTCCACTTTCCAACATGGGCGGTGACGGTGATTAGCAGCCATGTAGGCCCTTGGTCCAACTTAGATAAAACTCGACCAAAACTTCGACTCCGTTTCACTAGCAGTTCTCATCCCAACTTAGAAAGAGGCAAATATTTGTGATGAAGTCTGTCAGAGCATTTATTTTCATCATAATGAATTAGAAGCTAAGCAGGAGAGGAAAGGACTACCAAGTACCAAATGCAAGTGCATTTACTGGTATTGATTGAGAAGTGTGAATTGGGAGATGGAAGAATCACCAAATCAAATCATTAGAAGTGGGAATAGTTTGACATTCATAAAGGGAGTATTAAGTACACATAAATATGATAAAATTAACTTTAAATGATTAATTGGGACTAAAATAGAAAAATAAAAGTTTTTTTTTTCTTATTAAGGGACTTTTTTTAGAAGTATAGATAGATATAGATTAGTAGCCCTATTAAATTTTTTTTTCAATGAGTTAAACTTTGATCAATATTTAAATTAGATTATTCAACTATGAATTCTTTTTCATTATGATAATCTAATCCTATTTTGCTACATTACACTTTGTGGATTTAGAATAGATGCTAATATTCAATCTGATATAAGTTTGATCTGAATAGTTCACATATATAAATATTAGTAATAATCTTGTGTCTAAAAATATTTTATAAGAAAAAAAAATAAAGATTTGTTGTGTAATATTTTACATTAAATAATTGTTTATTTATTTTTTATTAAATTGAGAAAATAAGAGAGCGATAGGAGAGAAAAAGGGAGAGGTAGGTACAAGTTAGTGGAGTTGTTTGACGTTGAGTATTGTGCAAAGAAATAATTTTTTGAACGGAAAAATAAATTTGGAATAAATTTTTTACTATTGTATCAAAGTAGATCAATATTGATTGTTATTTTGTTTTTTTAAATTGAGAATTGAACTTTTTAACTATAATATTAGAAAAAAATGATGCAATTTAGTCACTATTTGATGAAATATACTAAGATGAATTATTTGGATTGGATACATTTTTTTGGATTTATTTTAATTTTTAATAGATTATAACATTGACTATAAAAGTAAAATTTTTTGAAAAATTAATTAATCTGAATTTACTCAATTTAGATCAATATTCTAAGAGTCCAAATCAAATCCAATGTATTAGTGAACTTGTAATTGAGATTGACTGATTATGAGACCTTTGTCCAATATGGCTGGGTCTAGCAGGCCTTTTCAACCGGAACCAATTATGAAACTTTTGAATCTCATTTTTTTACTCGAAATAGTTATTAAATTACATAGTTAAATAATTATTAAGTTTATAAGATCCAATATCGCATTTAGTAATTTTCAGTTAAGCTGTACCGTACATTAATATTGTGAATATTAATAAACAAGGGCCAAGCCCAAAAGAGAGAGAGCGGGAGAGAAGGGCTTAAGCCCAAACACAAAGGCCCCCAGATGACTAAACATTCATGTTTGGGGAAACTATTGGACTCAGAGATCAATCTGGCCCAACCAAAACTGTTCCCCATTAGTGGTCTGCAATATTAATCTAAGGAACCTACAACGTCTAAGATGAGCTCGGTCTTCCAAGTCTTCCCTTCAGAATCTTCCAGAAACCCTTGTTTCTCCACGTCTAATGAGGCTAGGTGAAACCAAATAATGTACCGCCACGTGGAAACGATCAATCTGAACTGTCTGATCATCCACGCTGTCCACACCAGACCAATCATAAAGTCGTAACTCGTCGCAGTGGAGGACACGTGAGATCGCAGGTCTCTCCACTCTTCTAACTTCACTATATAATCACTCTCTCGCTGAAGAGAGCTTGAGAATTATCCATCAAGGCGGACTTCGCAGGGTTGAAGCGACAAAGAAATTGTTGAGAACGATG